CCCACACACACACATATCTGATCTCCAGCCTGTCTCTGTATCTGCATATCAAACCCTTCATCACCATCCTGCTACTGTATGTGAACCCTTCATTTCCCCTTCACCTCCTACTACCAATCTCCATGTTTTAACCCCCTTAATACCACCATGTGTCTTCATTTTAAAGAAAAACGATGGAAAAAAATATCACATTTGGGTGTCTTCTTTCCAAAAAGGTCATTTTTAGGGGAGGGAGTTTCTTGTACTGTCCTGGCATTTTATTTGCTGTGTTTTTTAAAATATATTTTTGGTCTTTTTTCCTTTTATAGTAACAAATTAAAACATGTTGTTTTGAATTGAAATTTGGATGAATTTCTTTAAATGGTAACAATAACGATTTCCAAGGTATCAAATTTTAGGATAACGGAAATTTGGATGCGTCTGAATGTCATTTGGAATAAATTGTGTTGTTAAAGTGAAAAAAAAAAAAAAAAGTCCCCTTTACAAATTCCTACCCGGCCCTTTAGGTCGGGTAGGAATTTTAAAAAGACAGAGTACAGAGTACTTTTTTTCTTTTATAGTAACAAATTAAAACACATTGAGGGGAAGTTATTAAAATTGGAGCCGACAAAATCTGGAGCAGCTGTGCATGGCGACCAATCAGCTTCCATCTTTCATTTTCAAATCTTAACTGGCCAAACTGAAGAGAGAAGCTGATTGGTTACGATGCAGAACTGCTCCAGATTTTGTCTGCTCCAGTTTTCATAAACCCCCCCCATAATGGTTATTAAATACCTTGAAAGGAAAACTCTATCTGCCTCAGAAATAAATGATATAAAAGGAATTTGGGTGCAGTGCTGCATGGCCGAGTAGTTGTCAGCCAAACTATCACTGCACTGTAAATGAACTTACATCTTCTCTCCGGTCTTCTTCTAGATCTGATGGCTTCAGCCAGAGATTACTTAACTTCTATTCATGAATTCGGGAGCAGTTGCCTATGGCAGCCAATCGGCTTCTCTCTTCAGTTTGTTCAGTTGAGATTGAAAATGAAAGGTGGATTCTGATTGGTTGCTATGCACAGCTGCTCCAGATTTTGTCTGCTCCGGTTTTGATAAATTCCCCTCAGAGTCTCTCCAGCCATAAAAAGCTACCTACTAGCATTTATAAAATAGAACAACTTACGCTCCACTTTAGCCACTTAAGTCCTGGGTGCTATTTGAAAACAGTGCTAAAATTTCACTATTTTGCCCTAGTAATCTTTAAAGGAGAACTATGAGGTGAGTGATTTTTACCCAACCTCATAGTTCGAGCCGACGTGTGACAATGAAACTGTCACAGGTCGGCTCAGTAGATCGGGAAGTGAGCGAACACATACCGTCGCTCGCTCACTTCTCGATCATCTCCCTGCAGAGAGCTTTGACTGTCACTCGCGGCTCCCTGCAGGGATTCCCCCCCTCCCCGCTCCGATGCTCCAGCACTGACTGGCGAAACGGACGGGGGAGGGCACAGCTGGCTCTGCCTCTAGGAAGGCAGAGCTAGCTGTCAATCACGCAGCTGGGTGTAATGTCGGGATCCATACCGGCTGCGGCGGTCTCAGTATACCGCGAGATGTAGCTCGCGATATACTGAGCGTTGGGTCACGGGAGGACGCTAGTTTATGTCCTCCCGTGACCCTTAGGAGAACTATGGGGAAAAACACTGACCCCATAGTTCTCCTTTAAATGTGCCCAATCTCAGCAACAGTAGTTGCTGAGCTCATCACTGATGTCATCGGGATTTCCTGTGAGTTCCCTATGACCATTATGGAATAGGGCAGAGCTCATCCAACTAATGTCAGGAAACAACAGCTCACTGTTGTGAGTCATGTGTTGCTCATGCATGGGTTTACTTATCCAGGTTTTATTTTAGGATCAGTGTCTGGTGCTAAGCTGCATAATAAATGCTTCCCTCTTCTGTCCTAACTAAAACCTATAAAATCAAAATATAGAGTATGCTAAATAAAAAAAGTGCATTATGATGTATTCTCGTATTGTTGACACACATTATAAATGTGTGCTTTTTGCTAGGAGAAGGACTTTCACTATGAGATAAAATGACATAAAACTGTCCTCAATGTGTACCCTTAACATGCATCTTTTAAATGTGGTGCAGTTTATTCCTAACCTTGTTGTAAATTGCTTGTTTACAGAGCTCAATAACTAAAGGGGAAATTTGTAAATGCAAGTAAATGAATCATGGCAGCGATGCCTCCTCTTCCTCCTCTCCATAAACTTCACCGGGGTGAGACAAGTGCGACTCTACACTGTACTTTCTATATATACAACTCCATTGACAACTAAAGAAAACCTCAAAAGTTGGGCACCAGCTGCAATTTGTCTAGGCCTGACCTAAAGCAGGCCTGACTTAAAGCATAAGTGCACTGTAAAGCAAAGTGCCTCAAAACTTTTTACCCCCAACAAGTGACCAACCCTAACCCGCACTCTCCCTCGGCAGATCCGTTCTGGCACAGATTTGATGGGTACGGTTCTGCTACTGTTTACATCCAGTAGAGATGAGAGTTTCCTTTCGTTCCGAATTAAAATTCGGACGAATTTCTTTAAATGGAACAAACAATAACAAATTCCAAGGTATCACATTTTTTGATAATGAAAATTTGGATGCATCTGAATGTCATTCGGAATAAACTGAGTTGTCAAAGTGAAAATCGAAAAAAAAAAGAAGTGTGGGATCTGGTAGGAATTTTAGGGGGGACCTCATTCCAAAAAAAGAGTGCAGTCCCCCCCAAATTCATACCAGACTCAATGCTTCGCTGGGGGGACCCCCTGGTAAAGCATCTTGTCCCCACAACCCTGGCACGGACCACACCCTTTTTTCCCCAAAAAGGTCTGGTAGGAATCTGCTACCCCACACTTTTTGTTTCTGCCATGGGGTCCCGCCAAAATTCCTACCAAACCTAAGGGGTCTGGTATGAATTGCGGTGGGGAGTGCACACGATCTTTTTTGGCATGGAGTCACTCCTATAATTTCTACAAGACCTAAAGAGTCTGGTAGGAATTTGGGGGCACCCACTCTGGTTTTTTTTTTCACGTTTAACAACATTATAAACTCAATCCAAATAGGTTTAAATTGATCCGAATCTAAAAGGAAAAATTTGGTCCAATCCAAACCCCCCAAAAAAATATACAGGTTGATCGGAAATGAAAATGAAAAATTTAAAATCGATCCAAATTACGAATAACGAGCCGAATTTAAAATCCGAATTAAAACCCCCTGAAAAAACTAAATCGATCTGAAACAAAACAAGACAAATTTTTTGCGCCTCCACATATCTAACTTCCAGCACTGCAATGCTTCCCCTGCTGGCCGCACCTGCACACTACAGCCCCATAGACTTCTATGGGATTGTTTAGTTCTGGGGAGGAGGGAGAATAAGCGCACTTAATATGTAACCATATACAGTACACTAATGATATAGATAATTGTTTATTTACAATGTAAAACAATTTTATTTTTGCAATATATATTCCTGATCATATATTTATAGGCTGACCATTCCCCACGCTGGTTGCTACTTTCAACAAGAACAGTTCTCCCTGCAGGCACTTTAATAAATATTAATAAATATATGCATGATTCTTAAATGTGTAGTTGACGTTGAGTTATAAGCAGCACGTTATCCTTACACAGATGAGAAGCTCTCCGGAGAGTTCAGTGACAGACTGGATGTCCTGAAGCTGCACAACCAATTTGCCGTCCACAAAATTAACGACAGACTGGAAAAATACAAAAGATAAAAACGGTACAAGTTTGTGATTTTCAATAAAGAGATTTCCTTTTAACGTGAATTCCTTTAAAAATTAATATAACTGTATTTCACAGACAACAATAAAAGAAGGAATTCATATACACAAGGTGCATACACCTTTCCATGCAGAAGGAAATGTGTGCAGGTGCTTAAAGCAGAACTCCAGTTTTGTTTGACTTAGTAATCCATTATTGTCACATAACTCCATAACACATTTCTCTATTGCAGGTATCACTATGTGGCAGACCGCGTTCTGCACGAGGACCGAATGACAGTTCTATCCAGACACTCATGTGAGGGGGCAATCTGATGGGGACACCTGATGACACTGGTGGGGACACCTGATTTAAGGGGGCACTCTAATGGTGACACTTAATGTAAGGGGGCACTCTGATGGTGACACTTATTGTAAGGAGGCATTCTGATGAGGACAGATAGGGATAGACTTACAGTACATTGGCTACATATACAGTGAGTCATACCACAAACATGAGATTTAAACCTCTGCTAGAAGAACATTTCTTACCTACTGAATTTTAATTCAGTTTTCTTGCTCTATTACATCTCCCAAAATGTTCCTATGGATGTATGCAATCGTAAAAGAAAAATGAGCGACTCCCTTCTCTAATCTATGCTTCCACCTGAGTGACAGCCAGTGCGGGTATCTTAGTAATATCCCGATTCGCACACCGTACCAATGTGTGCCCCAGAAACCAGCAGAAACCAACGGGTGCTGGAACAATTGGTGGTGACGCCGCAGTATACAATCTAGAACAGTGGTTCTCAACCTGTGTGACCCACATTTGTCCTCGGTCATTAAGTTGCGACCCAAGTTGCACTGAGATCGAACTGTGGGTGCGAGGTGGGTTTGGGATGCAATTCAAATGAATGGCAACGTAACACACCTCCCATACCAGAACGCATGCGATTGCATGGTACAGTGTGCGATTGGTGCGAGGTGGGTTTGGGATGCAATTCAAATGAATGGCAACGTAACACACCTCCCATACCAGAACGCATGCGATTGCATGGTACAGTGCTTTAATCGCACGGGACTGTGCGATTATTGCACTGTACTAGTGTGAAAAGGCCCTCAAAAACACTGACAGACTCATAAACCACAGACACAATCTCACACGCACACTCCAAAAAAAGATCCACCCAGCCTGGCTACCATACGAGAACTGTAGTGGATCCTCAGCCTGGGGGCCAGTGTGGGCTGCTCTGCTGTAATGGAGCTTCATCCATATGTGCATTGCTGGTACAGCTCCTTTGTTTGCCCTGTTGATGTGTCGGTAGCATAAATGTGATATCACTCCGGTTCAGGCACCACTACAGGATACACGAGGGAGGTTCTAGAATAGAAGATATATTCTCTGCACACCATGCTGCTTCACAATGTCATCTTTATTCGTATTCCTTTAGCATGACATATGGATGCAACGTTTTAGAGCCTCACAGGGCCCCTTCATCAGGCAAGTGTCAATAATTATCCATAAGTTATGCTAAAGGAACATGACTTCTAGTCAGTGCATGGAGTCTGTATAGCCTCCCCATAGTTGTGTTCTTTTCTAAAGCCAGTGAAATATTTTGCCTCTAAAGAGGTTCCAGTACACTGAGTACTCATTCTTCTTAGTATTATAGTGAGGCTCAGTTTCAGTTAAAACTTCAAGCCAACGTTAGCATTTCAGGCTCTCGCAAGGTAGGAGTTCTTCCCCATGTTAGAGTTCTTACCTTCATTTTTCCAGTCACTGACTCCAGCTCAGCCTCCTCACCAACTGTGAACTCATTGCGTAGGACACTGGGCCCTGTGGTCATTGTGATCACAAAATGATTTCCATTCTGGACAATTTCTGTGATAGTCTTCAAATCTTTACATTTCTGGATTGCATCATCAGGAATCCCTGAAATCAGAAAAATACTCTTGTTGGGTCATTTCCAGAAACCCAAAACTAGGCTGCAAGTGTGTACTCAAACTGACCTTGTTCATACTGTACATCAATACCTCCCAACTGTCCCTCATTTGCATTCCATTTTTTGGAACCGAATCCCTCTGCCCCACTTTTCTTCCCAGTTGTTCCCTTTTTGTTTCTGATGTACAGATATCTATGAAAAAAGTGTTATTCTGCACTAAAACCTTTATCCTATCTCTTTAAAAAATCTTGTATGTCATTTTGAAAAGCCAGTATAAAGGAAAAGTAATGGAAAAAAAGACAATTCTGGGTTTTTAGCAATCATTTTTTGGATATAAATTCTTAATGTTCCTGCGTATCAGGGATGTGTCCATTGCCTAAATACTGTATTTTTCCATGTATAAGACTATACTTTTTCTTAAAAATACTTACCTAAAAATGGAGGGGCGTCTTATACATGGGGGGCCAAGAGGAGAACCGCAGTTGCGAAACTGCCGATACCTCTGCAAACTAGCCTCACAAGTGAAACTTCCGATTGCAGAGACAAACTAACAGGTTTCCTCCAATCATGATCCTTATGTACCTGACGTCAGCTGATGCTGCGGAGGGCGTGTAGTCAGTGCCCAGATGCAACAGGGAGCCCATAGAAATGTCAGAAAACAAAAAAAATACCGGTAAATACCGGTACCAGTAAGCGTCTGTCTTACTCTGCAAAATTTAAACTGGATGTAATCAGTTATGCAAAAGAGCATGGAAAATATTGATTTCTGAATTTTGGGTAAGAAAAGTGGGGGGCGTCCTATACATGGGGGCGTCTTATAGACAGAAAAATACGGTACATTGTACTGCAAGGTGTCCCTCTTTCTTATCTAAGAAAGTTGGGAGGTATGATACATCTATGTGTCCATGCACATATTTCAAGCTTGTTTCAGGTGCCAAAACATAGCAATACTGAGTACTGGTATTAAGGAGATCATGGGCACGGGTCATCCTGATGAAGTGTTCAGCAAATGCTTGAGCAGTTTTCTTGGTTTGCTATGATATACAGGTAGACCATTCATTTAGTTAGTCAAGCTAGTTGTCAGATGGCATAGGCCTTGACAACAGTCCAACTTCAACAAGCTTCTTTCCCTTCAGCCAAAGTTAGTTTAGGACACTGGTGCCTACACCAGGTATAAGGCAAGAGAGAATTTTTCGACCAGAGGAGTTTCATTTATGTACATTGTTTGCTTAACTGTGTATGGTACTAAAATTATTTTACAATGAGGAACTGTTTTAATTCAAAATTGGGAATTTCAGATGTTGATTGAATGCACTGCACCTAAGCAACCAGAGAACTTCTTTGCAATGAGTTAACACATTGAATAGCAATAGGATATGCTTGGGAACAAGAGTTTCCACTAGGCAAATTACACTGGAGATAAGCGAGGGTTACAAAATGTACTCCTCCAGCAATTTGTGAAATTCATGTCCAAAACATATACCACTAGCACAATTTCTCCTCCAAGGATCAGTAACCAAGGTTTTTTGGCATTTTAATTGGCAATTTTGCATGTTGATACTACCCGAGGCTCCCTGTCATGAAACCAGAGTTAGCCTGTGTGGCCGGGCTGCTGGACAGGCACCTGCGCATACAGAGGATTGAGTGCGGCCGCGCGCCTCTTCGCGGGCAGGCGCGTGCTCCACGGCGTGCGCACGTGCCCGTTCCTAATGATGGCGCCAACAGGGCTATTTAAAGCTGAGACACCTTGACCTCCCTGCTGACTGATCTTCAGCTGTACCCCTGCTCCTGAGACCTGTAAACCTGTTTGATCATCTGTTACCGGCCCGGTTTGTTTGACCTCTGCTCCTGCTCTGTGCTCCTTGATCTCGGCTTGTTCTTTCAACTCTCTCCTGTCTGCTCCTTTGTACCTCGCTGCCTGCAAGTTACTGACCCGGCCCGTCTCTGATTACATCCAGTCTTCTGATTGTGTACCTAGCTGACAGATTATTGCTGACCCGGCTTGTCTCTATTCTGCTTCAAGGATCCTGAACTACAACTGCATCCTGCTAAGAGATCCCTGCAACCTGCACGCAGCTCTGACAGGAGTACCAACCTACCGGCACTTGTGCCCCTCCTTGTCCTTACGCACCTGTTCCCACTATCCAGGGGTGTTTGGACTGGAGCAGCAAGAGAGGCCTCCCTCGTCATCTCAGGCTCCCCTTAAGGTACGTGACACTCCCTTTTGACTTACCAATATTGTGCACTCTTTATACTTAGAAATTTGCCCAGGCTCAGATTCATGACAAAACAGGTGAAAAATGTCTTTTTATTCTGGGACATTGAGGCAGGATGCCAAGATAACAGAGCAGCTATGGGTGCCTATGGACAATGGAGTCTCAGCAGATATCTGTTGATTTTATTGGCGGTAGTGTTTTTGTTCTGTGACATCAGTGATGGACAGCAGGAAGTCTCAGGTCATCCAGGCCTAATTCAATTTGATGGATATCTGGTGTCATTTTCAGAAATGATGCCATCTGTCTCATAAGGAGCACCTACACTGAAAACTGGGCCATTCTGGACCACTTGGCAAACTCAAGAATCCATGGGCTCATTAGATATGTATTCAGGGACCTCAAAGCACTTTTGTTCTCCATCGTCCCTGTGTGCGTTGTAAATTGCCACCACTTAAGCTTGCTCCCATGATTGACTACAATCTCAGTGAAAACTAGTAAACAACACGTGAGCTTGTAGTCCATCATGGGAGTGAGCTTGGATTGGTGACTACCTTACAACACACACAGGGACCATGGGGAACAAAAGTAGCCCCCCTCCAGAAGGAAGGACAGTGTCAGCACCAATTCAGAGATGATTTGAGGATCTACAGCCCAGTGATACACAAATAAGATAAGTTTTTGTTAATAGTTCAGGTACCTGAATGTATTTTTAAGGTTTAACTGTGTTTAGTGTCACTTTAAAGTGAGGGAAAAATGTTCATAGTAGAATAGTTTTCAAGGTGTAGATGCTTCAAAAATGCACTAGATTGCATACTATAGACATTTTTTTGCCTGCTTGAAATACAAATGCAAATTAAAATGAATCATAAACCAAAAGAAACATAGTAGTAGCAGCAAATAGCACTCCACTGTGTTCTGTAATATTCAGTAATTTATTAGTGACAACAATTTTGTTTGTGTCAAAAAAGTCTTATAAATTAAATTAAAATTCATATATATGTATATAAAACCAAATATTTTTTTTTTGTTCCAAGCTCGCGCCCCTGATGGACTACAATCCCAATACAAATTAGTAAACTAAATGTGAGATTATAGTCCATCACAGGAGTGAGCTTGGAGCGGTGACTACTTTACATCACACACAGGGACCATGGGGGACAAAGGCAGCCCCCCTCCAGAAGGAAGGACAGTGTCAGCACCAATTCAGAGATGATTTGAGGCGCTACAGCCGAGTGATACACAAATAAGATATATTTTGTTAACAGTTAAGGTACTTCAATGCATTTTTAAGGTTTAGCTCCTGAGTTTAGGGTCACTTTAAAGTTTTTTCCTTTACACTGAGCACAGGTTCACTTTAATGAAAAGGAATTAATGATAATACTGGAAGTTATAAATTGCATTAGTTCTTACCAATCGCTTTCATGAAACTCTCAAAGTTCTCATGGGACTGTAGCTCGTAGGTTCCTGAGAAAGCCATCGTAGAGGGGGTGCTGATCTTCTTCACCAGGAGGTCACAAAGAGCATTTGTCACCTCTTCATTGTCTTCTTCTTATAAGTATCTGCTCTTATCTGTGATCAGCATTCAAGGTGAGGTTACAAGCTTATACAACTCAAACATCAATATTACCTGCCTTGCATGGTCATGCTACTCTTAAAGAATTTGCTTCTTGTGATAAACCATGTTTGGTAGCATTATTCATTGTAGCTACTGAGTGTACCATATTACATAGAAACATAGAATATAGAATCATAGGACTGCTTGTCTTAGTAATATCTTTAAATAGAATTAATAATAGTTTGGAGTAAGTTTTAAAGCAGAATTCTAGTTTAAAATACTTTCATAAAAAATGTCTAACACCCAGAACTCAAGGGTTTAGGACTAAGTAGTCGTATAGCCTTAAAAAAACCACTCATCGGTGAGGCTAATTGGGAAAAAAGGCATCAGTCTGATAGGGAGCATAAAGATCGGGCTGTGGAGCAATGGAAAATGGTCATGTTGCCTAATGAGACAATTCATCCCCACACAGCTACCTCCTCATGTATCACTTGCCCCTCCCTTTTAGATTGTAAGCCCTCACTGGCAGGGCCTCCTTAACATCTTGTCTTGAATTGTATTGTGATTGTAATGCCTTCCTTATATTGTAAAGCGCTGCGCAAACGGTTGGCGCTATATAAATCCTGAAAAGGATTAACAATAATAATTTGCCCTGTTCCAGAGTGATGGGTGCATCAAGGTAAGAAGAGAGGTGAATTAAGTAATGCCTAGTGCCTACTGTACAAGCCTGTAGGGGCAGTGTTATGGTCTGGGGTTGCTTCAGTTGGTCAGGTCTAGGTTCAGCAACATTATGTGCCCAAAACATGAGGTCAGCCCCCTACTGAATGACCTGGTTTTTCCATCAATGGATTTTTTTCTTCCCTGATTGCACATTCCTAGATGACAATGCCAGGATTCTTCGGACTCAGATTGTGAAAGAGTGGTTAAGGGAGCATGAGACATCATTGTAACACATGGATTGGCCTCCACAGAGTCCTGACCTTAACCCCATTGAGAATCTTTGGGATGTGCTGGAGAAGACTTTACGCAGTAGTCTGACTCTCCCATCATCACTACAAGATCTTGGTGAAAAATGAATGCAACTCTGGACAAAAATAAATGTGACATTGCATAAGCTTATCAAAACAATGTCACAGCGAATGTGTGCCGTAATCAAAGCTAAAGGCGGTCCAACAAAATATTAGAGTGTGTGACTTTTTTTGGCCAGGCAATGTATATTTGTTTGATCTGGATTCATTATTGAAAAAGGTTTGCGAGAGTAATACCACTTTAAGAAGTGTATGTGGGAAAGTTGGAAAACCCACAGTTGTATTAATAACAATGTTACTACAGTGTTAAAACATCTGGATCCACCATATAGTTAACCATGTATCTGCAGAACAGCTGTAACTACATATGTGAGAAAAGGTGTGATACATGGTGTGGCAGTGAGTGGCAATGCCATGGAGTATGCTGGCAACACAGTCACCCAGGACTCTCAGCCAAAGGGGCTGAGAGGTTTCCAGGATGTAAATAGTGTGGCAGGGAAGAAGCTGGCCTTTCAGTTTCGTCCGTTTTTTCCTGATTGTAGCTGGGATCTGGAACTCTGGAGATTTCTTAGAGTTCTGGGTGGGATGAAATCTCCAGTCCTGAGGTCAGGTGTTGCTGATGATCAGGTGGCTGAGAGAGCCTCATTAAGAGCCCAGACCAGAGCTCAGGGGAGGCAGGGCCGGATTTACTCTCTCTGCTGCCCCAAAGCCAGGTTCCTCAATGCGCCCCCCTTTATGCACGCTGCATACAAGTGATCTCGGCAACAACGATGAGATCAATTGTACAAAACAAGTGGCTGCTTCCCTGCTGTACATTTAGCCCTGCTTGCCCAAAGCAGGGCAAAATGCAGAAAACAACTACCCAGCCGGTGCCCAGAACTGCATGTCCTGGGCATCAGGAGATAGTATTTCCACACCCGTGCTGCCCCTCTACTCCCTGCTGTCCCAAGGCCGGGCCTCGGTCGGCCTTGTGGGAAATCCGGCCCTGAGGGGAGGAGTTGGTGTGGGCTGTGGGCACACGAGGGCCAAGCCAGGTGTGATGTGTGCTGGAGGCCCCCAAGGAACAGCCTGGAAGGTGGGAGGTTTATAGCGGCTGAGAAAGCCAGACACACAAGGTGTGTGTGTTGGAATCAAAAACTGCTGAAAGCTGCACAACGGTAGAGTATTCCCGAAGAGTTATTGTTGAGGAAAACAGTAAAGTCCTGGGACTGGGACACTGACTGAACAGGGCAACCTGGGAATGGTGAGATAGTCTATTTGCTGAAATACAAGAATACTTTATGTTGGATTGCTGAAGAAAGCTATCTTCTGTTACAAAAGAAATAAAAGACTGTCCTTTTTCTGCTAAAACGGCTTCGAGACTGGTCCTTAAGTGCTCACCATATGTGCTTAATTCCCCAAATATCACAATAGGTAAACCAGAATATTTAAATATGCCTAAAACATCATCAAAATGTTATACAAATATGCCAATGTTTCATCTTTTATTAATAAAAAGTCTCCAAGTAATCCAGCTAACAGAGGATTTAGCCTATGAATTTCATGGACACTTTGGTATATAGGGTAACAATTCCTGTCTGTGTTGTAAATAAAGTGGGAAAGACCTTCTCAGTCCCCAACCAACAATGTGTCAGTTGAACGGTGTGTGTTGAAGTGGAGTGGCTCTTTAAATTTATTGTTGCTGGCACTGTAATCAGCCTGGCTGATTTGTAGTCTGTTATCATCTGGTTATTCCAGGTGTTCTGCTATTGTCTGCACCTACCTGTAGTGGCGTGTGACCCTGCCAGGGTGGGGCAACCAATGGTAGAATATTAGGAGTGTCTATGCCTCATGAGCCAATCACTCGGAGTTTTAAGGCCAGTGGTGCATGCCAGAGAACTGCATAAATACTCAGGAATTGCCCCTGGGCCTTTGCAGTCTGCCCCTGGGCCTAGCCTAGACCCCCTAGTTGGGGTCTATAACTTTCTGGGAAGGAGAACCAGAGGAGCCCTTTACCTGCTGCAAGTGGCAGGAAGGCCAGGATGGTATGGACCTCAGGAGCAGGTCTGGTGTCTCTCCCAAGACCTCTATCCAGCTGTAGTTCCTATTACACACAGTCATCCTCTGCTCAACTAAAGTACTCCTGCACTGTGAAAGCAGGAAGGGATTAGTGAGTCTGGAGTCTATTTTTGCCCATGGATGTCTGTAGCCCTATACCCTCTCTCCCAGTTTGGCTGTTCTACAGTAAAGCACTGAAAAAGTACTTAAAGTGACTGGCGCCCAATTTATTGTTCATATCCCACAACCTGGCTAAGGATCCATCCCTGAGAGTGAAATGTCAGCCCTCCCTGCCTCTGGGGTTGACGACATGACTTTGGTGGTCTCGCAGGGGAGGATCTAGGTATTAGAAGTCAATTTGTGTTGTGCATTTCAAATGGGTAAGGTACTTCCATGTTATCCTTCAAATGGGCATTCTTAATGGGATGGCCTGATAACATATTAATTCATGAATTTCAATTGTGGTGCCATGACATCTGTGGCAGGTTTATTGGAGCTACATTGGAGCTACCCATGTGGCTATAAATACTGGGGTATGTTTCTAAAACACATTTATACTGAGGAAGCCTCTTGGATGAGTGGTGAAATGTCTTCAACATTGCAGAACAAGTCTGATTTGAATGTTACTAACTACTAGAATCTAATTTTACTATAATAGATAAGCCCCATAGAGGTGCATGGGGATGTACTGCACAGACGGGGCCAGGAGAAGCAAACAGCCCTGTAGGATATAAATATTAATGGAGGCCAAGCCTGACGGAAATCAGTAAGTATTCATCAATGCACGGTGAGGGACTGGTGGAGTCACATTAAAGGGACCCAACGGAGAAGTGTATTTTGTATTAAAGTGAACTTATCCTTTATTATAATAAAACCTTAACAGACATCCCATGATAATTCATGCGAGTACAGTTGGTTACTTGTGACCTACCACCTCAGTGAATATCTCATCCAACTATATTTCAGCCTCTTAGGTCAATATCTCCACAGCAAGTGCTACACGGCTGTGATTCTTTGCTATTCATAATCAGCAATGTTATTGCGCTATTCATACATATAACCAGATGGTCACATGACTATAACAGAAGAATTCAGGTCATATTGCAGATCATGACTGTGCATAGCAAGGAGTAGTTTATACCCAAACAAGGCTATCCACAACCAATCCTTTACATTTGTCAGCATATGATAAAGTATATGCCTTGTTTCTGTGTCTTTATCAGTCAGTTGCATTACTTTATATAGCAATGTGGTGATAACAACAATTCTGGACTCTCTGACCTGTGCAAGCTGTTTAAATAGGTATCATGTTTTATCAGCTGTTCTGCCTTATCAAACAGTTATGTGATTAGCAGGAGGAAAATTCTTCATATTAAACACTGTAGACATTTGCTTATCAGACTCCAGGAAAACCTCATATCCAGGTCAGCAGTGTCTTGTTTACGAAATGTAGTGCTGACTTTGTCAAGATTACTATAAAGGTGCTCAGGAATGAAATGCCCATGAAAGTTACGTCTTGTCTTTGAAAGGGACCCTTGCACTCTGCCTATTAAGGGGCAAAGTAACAGCTTCTCTTGAAAGAACAACTTTTGTAAAATGTATATGTGGTTTTGTTATTGTTGGTACACATAATTGGTGCATCATTTGTTTTCTGACTGGGTATCTCCATTGGGTGGTAAAAAATATTCGATTAGGAGCTACAACCCAATCTTAGGAAGTTTTGCTGGCAGTATCCTTTGGCATTTCTTTCTAATCTTGGAGCTTTCGATTTGGAAACACTTGCTGACTCTCACATTTGGAAAATCCGTAAAAATACCAATTCTAAGATGTTATTCGAAGCAGCAATCAGATTCACAG